AAAAAAAAAAAAAAAAAAGCAGACAAATAGGGCATACCTCAAACTCTAAGAAAAGCTTCCAGCTCTCTTCCCATTTCTGGACACCTTCAAAGAGTTCTTTATGAACTTCATAATAGTTTCTTAACCGCACAATCTCAGCATCATGTAGTTGGAGCAGATTTTCTGTGTAGTCCTCTGCAACATAAAGACCCAGTAGTTAAAAATTAAAATTACTCAGGACTGGGGTTGTAGCTCAGTGGTGAAGTCCTTGCCTAAAACACTGGGTCTGATCCTCAGAACCACATAAAAATAAATAAAGGTATTATATTCATCTTCAACTAAAATTTTTTTTAAAAAATTAGTAATAATATCCCAATTTACTATCCACAACTTCCCTAAAATGGAAATAGGTATAATATATATATTTTAAATAATATAGAAGTGGCTAATAAAAAATAAAAGCCAGGACTGGGGGTATAGTGCTAGGCATTTACCTAGCATGCATGAGGCCCTGGGTTTCATTCCATGCACAATGGAAGAGAAAAAAATAAAAAGCTGGGCATGGTGGTGCGTGCCTATAATCCCAGCAACCCAGGAGCCTAAGGTAGAAGAATATTAAGTTTGAGGTCAGCTTAGGCAACTTAGTGAGACCTTGGTCTCAAAACAAATTTTAAAAGGGATGGGATGTAGCTCAGTGTTAAAGCCCCCCCTGGGTTCAATCCCCAGTACTGAAAAAATAAACCATCAATAAAATAATATGTTTGTCATAATTAGCCTGAGGGGACTAAGTAACTAGGGTATGGACAAAGAGTAGTCTCCAAAATCTGTGTTATCTCTGCCTTACCCAGACAATAAAGGATCAGGTCACAAAAACTGTCTAAAAACTTGTTGAATTTAGTTAGTACAGCTTCATTTTATGTTCAGTTCAGCCTGGAATTCCACTGGGCTCTAGGAGTCAGACTCCTCTAGGCTCAAACAGGCTAATGCATTTACCTGCTATATGCCTCTGAGTTAAGCTGATCAACATTTATGTCCCTTACTGTCCTCATCTCCCGACATAAAGATCACGTGAGATAATATTGTTAAGAATTGGCTGTATCTATTCAGATAAGGAAATAGAGGCTTCCTGGTGAGTGTCTGGGTTTATAAAAGAGCAGTGAGTAGACCACATGAAATTCACTGCTGTACTAACCAGCATAGTAAGGGGCAAAAGCTCGTCTCTGCTCCTGGCTATAAAAACACTGGTCCCAATACTGAGCCAGCTCTATTCGAATTGCCTCAATCACTTTCTTCATGTTTTGCATTTTCAGTTCTTCGAGCCGATCCACTTCTAATTGCAGCTGAAAGAAAAAGACATATTAAAGGTATTCACCGTACTTTCATATTCACTTAGATTAAAAGTTCCCCCTTTTTAGTTGTTTTTGTTTCCTTTAGGGTACTGGGGATTGAACCCAGATATGCTTTACCACTGTTACATTCCCAGCCCTTCTTATTTTTTGAGACAGGTCTCACTAAGTTGCAGAAGCTGGCCTCAAACTTGTGATCCTCCTGCCTCAACCTCCTAAGTCACTAGGATTATAGATGTACCCTCGGTGCTTGGTATTTTGCCTTTTAAAATAAAATTATAACACACAATACTCTGTAACAATCATATTATAGGAGCCAGAATACAGAAGATAGAAGATAAGCAGGCCATTTCCCCCTTTTCTGACACTTTTAAGAGTAGGCAGGCCCAAGGGAGAAATAGGTAAGGATGTTGGACTAGACTCAGGAAGACTACAGAAGACTGCTTACCCAGCACCCATTCAGTTTCTTACCGCTTTCCTGACYTTGGCTTTTGACCCAGTCATAACCATTGCCACAGCTTCTCTCTCTTCTTCAGGTATCTGCAATCTGTCCCAGAGTTCCCGGATTTGAGCACGAAGTCCCTCACACACTGCTTCATTTTGTGATTTTTGCATTTCCAGCTGTATCAAGGAAAGGCTGTGGTTAAAGCAATAGTAACACACAAAAGGCTAGTCCTCTGCAGCAAGGAATGTCTGGACCCAAATGAAGAAGAAGCATTTATACTGTGATTCCCATTTTTTTTTTTTTTTTTTTTGGTACCTGGGATTGAACTCAGGGGCACTTAGCCACTGAGCCACATCCCCAGCCCTATTTTGTATTTTAGAGACAGGGTCTCACTGAGCTGCTTAGTACCTGGCTTTTGCTGAAGTTGGCTTTGAACTCGCAATTTCCTACCTCAGCCTCCTGAGCTACTGGAATTATAGGTGTGCACCACTGTGCCTGGCTTCCCAAGAGAAATTTTTGATGCATTCTGAACATAAGATGTAAGGCTGTCACTATGGGAGGATCTCAGACCTCAAGAACAGGATTCCAATGTTGAATTGAAAGTTTTTTCAATCAAACGGTATGCTTGGGGCTGGGGATTACAGCTCAGTGGTAGAGCGCTCACCTATCAAGCTTGAAGCCTTGAGTTCAATCCCCCATATCATCAAAATAAATGAATGAATAAATAAATAAATATAAAAATAATTATTTAAAAAACAACTATGTATATCAAATGGATGTCATTTCATCTGATTGTAATTTCATATTCTTAGAATATTTTATCTCTTATTTACTTATAAATTAAGGTGTGTTTTTTTTTTTTTTAATTCTTTTTTAGTTGTAGATGGACACAGTATATTTATTTATTTTTATGTGGGCATCACATGTGTAAGGCAAGCGTTCTACCACTGAGCTACAACCCCAACCCCAAGGTTTATATTTTTTTAAAAAAGAAAAAAATCAGGGCTTGGGGTAGAGCCCAGTCGTAGAGCACTTGTCTAGCATTTTTGAGACCCTCAGGGTTCAATCCTTAGTACCAAAAAAATAAAACCGAGGGCTGGGGATGTGGCTCAAGTGGTAGCGCGCTCGCCTGGCATGCGTGCGGCCCGGGTTCGATCCTCAGCACCACATATGTTGTGTCCGCCGAGAACTAAAAAATAAATAAATATTAAAAATTCTCTCTCTCTCTCTCCTCTCTCCTTAAAATAAATAAATAAATAAATAAAACCGAGATCATATATCCTAAGTTACTATTTTTATTCTCCCTTACTCTCTTAATGTACATTGGCACTTATTTAAGACAGAAGGAAAAACTGCCAGTTTTTTCAAGGTGCTACACACTATTGAGATCCAGGGTCTTAATTTGAGAAGATATTACCTGCCGCAGCAACTTTTGTAGTGTTGCAATATTCTCCAAAGACAAACAAAAGGCATCTTCATCTTCACACACCACATCTCTTTCAAAGCTTGTGTCCGGTGTGTGATCTAATTCTTCCATACACAGTATGATCTGTCTCTTTATGTTGACAAACTCTTCACGCCTAGATGCCTATTAAAAAAAAATAATGATTAAAGTAACCTATAGGAAGGCCAGAAGGACTTTTGGGAAGTATAAATGCAGGTAGTATACCTTTGTTTCCCTCAGTGTTGCCACATGTTGTCTGAACTGGTTCAGTTCTTCTAAAGTGGGAACAGAAGTATTGTCAATGTCATAGTGGGGCATGCAAAGAATTTCACACAATTCTTGATCTTGTTCCTGAAGTAGCTTCAGTTCCTGTTTTCTCTCCTTTTTCTGTTTTCGCATCAATTCTACCTGAGTGCGCAAATCTTTTTCTAGTTGCAAGATAGTTGTTTCTCCTTCTTCCTGTATAAGACAGTATACCAATGATACAAGGTTTCAAGTAATTCTTTCACAGGAATCACTTGAGAAGGACAGTAGAAGAGAATTGATAGACTTTCAGTTAAATTTACAAATAAATCAACTCATAACCAATAGAATATGGCACAAAGAAGAACTCCTAAGGAAGGTCCCAAATGAGGAAAGGTTAATAGATACTAGGTCACTTTTTATAAAAATAAAGGTCAATTGACAACTAAAAAAATGTTTTAAAAAGTTTTTTTGAATTAAGTACAGATAAGTCACCAACTTAACAGTTTCTCTCTTTCTCTCTCTCTCTTTTTTTTTTTTGGCAGGGGGTACTAGGGATTGAACCCAAAGACATTCAGTCATTGAGCCACATCCCTTGCCCTTTTTTATTTTGAGACATGGTCTCACTAAGTTGGTGAGGCTGCTTTGAACTTGAGATCCTCCTGCCTCAGCCTGCCAAACCTCTGGGATTAAAGGTGCTAGGATTACCAGGCTTAATTCCCCCTACCCCCTGGTGCTTTAACCAATGAACTACACTTCTCTATCCCTTTTGATTTTGAGATAGGGTCTCACTAAATTGCTGAGGTTGGCCTTCAATTTGGATCCTCCAACCTCAGTAACTGGGATTATAGGTTGCGCCACCACGCCTGGCTATGTTAGATTATTTTGCCCAACTCCAGGCTATGTAAGTGTTCTGAGCACAAGTAAGGTAAACTAGGCTAAACTTTATTCAGCAGGTTTAGTCTGATAGCATGCATTTTTTACTTATAATAGATTTATTGCATGTAACCCTATTTTAAGTTGAGAAGCATCTGTACACTCATACTGTTCTACAACCATCAACTTCATCCACTTCCAGAAGTTACATAATCTTGTAAAACTGAAACTGTATTTAATAAAAAGTCTTCATTCTCTGCCTCCACCCCCAGCTCATCACAACCACCATTCTACTTTGTGTCTCTATGAATTTGATAGATACCATAGCACTTTTGCAAGAAACATATTGGTTGAAAAGCTGGCTTTGAGTTAGCAAGAAGGTATCTATATCTAGCTTCAATGAGCGTGATGCCTATATCACTGCTACTCAGGAGGCTAAGAAATGGGAATCGCAAGTACAAGGCCAGCCTCAGCAACTTATTGAGACCATGTCTTAAAATAAGAAGTACTGGGAATGTAGCTCAGTGGTAAAGCACTCCTGGATTCAATCCCAGCACCCACCTCAAAACAAAACCAAACCTTAATAATCTCATGAATATCACCTTACCAATAAAAATAAATTTAGTGGTCCCTGCGCTACTCTTAACTGACAAAAGGAGAAGGGGGGGTTATATGTTCTATAAACTTATACAACTTCATTTAACATTAGTAAAATAGGAACTGTCATAATTTCAGGGAGAATGCCACTATATACCTAACTTTTCACCCAATTTCACATTAAAAGTTCAAAAAACAGACTAAAGCCAGCTTAGTGGCTCACACCTGTAATCCCAATACCTGAGGCAGGAGGATTATAAATTTGAGGCCAGCCACAGCAACTTAGCAAGGCTCTGTTTCAAAAAATAAAAAAGGGGGCTGAGGATGTGGCTCAAGCGGTAGCGCGCTCGCCTGGCATGCACGGGGCGCTGGGTTCGATTCTCAGCACCACATACAAATAAAATAAAGATGTTATGTCCACTGAAAACTAAAAATAAATATTAATAAATAAATAAATAAATAAAAGGGCCAAAGATGTACCTCTGGGTTCAATCCCCAGTACCCTCCCCAACCAAAAAAAGGCTAAAGAAAGAGGAATTGATATTCAAAAAAAAAAAAAAAAAAAAAAAAAAAAATCAATTATTTTTATGTCATTTACACTGATTCCAAGAAATCCCACTGATGTCATGGTCTGCCTGATTTCTCTGCCGCTAGGTATGAATTATCCCCAACCCTTTAAAGATAGTCTCTCTCCTAGTCTGATTCCATCTAAACACACAGGCAGTTCTTCCTGTAACAGCAAGAGGGACCAGAGAACCTTATTAGTACATCTTTACCTAGCCAAGCTCCATCTGTTCTTTCACAATTCTAACACTGTTTTCACTAGCTCTAAGCAGAGCTGTTTCAGCACCCTGTCTCTTGATATCCTCACTCAAATCCCTGACTTATGTTGGACCACATACAGCTATCTCTCAGCTACCTACACTGATAATCATGGCCTGCTGAGCTAGATATGTTCTCCTGGTTTTTGAGACATTTCTTCTGAGGGAGCCCTCTGGCTGATTCAGTGGCATACAACTTTGGAGTAGGAAAAGAACCACAAAGGTTGAATTTTGGGGTAACTTTTCCTTTTATCACTAGTTACTTTTGCTTCCTAGGTACCTCTTTTCATTTTCTCTCAGAGAAAGAATAGCATAATATTATCTGTGCCTACCTTTTTCTCCAAGTCAATTTTTAAAAAAATTAATATGCTCTACAAAGCAGAACTACAGCAAGAATCTTCTTTCTTTTTTAATTTTAATTTATTTATTATTATTATTTTTTAAATAATTTCGTATGTTGAGGATTGGTGATTTTCTTTTTTTAAAATTTTCTTTTATTTTTATGTGGTGCTGAGGATCGAACCCGGGGCCTCACACGTGCTAGGCGAGCGCTCTACCGCTGAGCCACAACCCCAGCCCTCTTTTTAAAATTTTTGTATATTTTTTTAGTTGTAGATGAACATATATATATATATATATATATATATCTGAGGATTGAACTCAGTGCCTCACACGTGTGAGGCAAGGCTTTGCCACTGAGCTACAGCCCTAGCCCCAAGAAGCTTAGTTCTGATCACCTATTACTTTTTCCATTTCTTTTTTATTTATGTTCTCTACATAAATAAAAAAATCACTTTACAGAACTAATTGGCCAAGTACCATGCTCTCCCCATTTTTCCAGTAAAAACCCTATAAGGAAGACTTCTGTCTATAGTCCAAAGTCATTGCTTCTTCCTAAATCTCAAACCCAAGCTGGATACCCCCAAACTGCCATGTACCTGAAATGGCTCAACATGTAACTCACTGCACAGGGTGTTCAACTCTTTTTGGCAGATGGATATGCTTTTGATAAGCCTTTCCTTCAGGCTCTCTTCTTCAGCAATCATCATATCCAGAAGATCCTATAAAAGAGAAAATAATCCATATAAGTTTAGAGCCACAGAAGAAAACACCAACACCAAAATGTTCATAATACAAAATATCAAGAAAAGGCTTAACAAACGAACAAAAACAGGAAAAGCCTAAGAACAAAACAGGAAAAGCTTATAATATCCTAGTGTAGGTGATCATATTTTTCAGATGAGACACCAGCATCCTTATGCCTTACAGCAGTATTACTCAACTCACCTTGATATGCTTCTTTACAACCTCAGTTCTTTGTAACCTTTGGTCCTCTGGAATCCCAATCAATTCCCATATTTCTCGAAGGTGATTTAGGGCTTTCTGGAGACATACAATGGACTCCTCTGCAAGTACCTCACTGAAAAACAAAACAAAACAAACTCACCTGTTACATCAATCTTTGCCTACAGACTAAAAGTAGTATTTTCAGGAACTAAATAGACTATCTTTTCAGCAGCTTTAAAGCTGAATTTAGCTTAATTCACCTCTGACTATTCCTTTTTCCTTCTCCCCCCGTACAAGCCAAACAAAATGCAATATCACAATCCCCTTCATGGAAATTCACTCTTTGAATGGTACTCAGAATCTGGGTTTTCATTGATGATTCTACTTTTAACAGTATAATAATCACAAATGCTTTTATTAAAGAAAAATTAGGCAAAATGTCAGCAAAATAAACTAACATGAGTTTGCTGTTAAGAAGCAAGTGATTAATTATTATTATTATTTTTTCGAGGTACAAGGCAAATTCAAGGCCTTGCATATATGACAGGCAAATATTCTGACCTACATTCCCAGCCCCTTATTTTTAATTTTTATTTTTTTTAAGATGTTGATGCACCTTTATTTTATTCATTTATTTATACGTGGTGCTGAGAATCAAATCCAGTACCTCATACGTTAGGCAAGTGCTCTACCACTGAGCCTCAACCCCAGCCCCAGGCCCTCAACTCTTTAATTTTAAACAGAATATAACTAAGTTGTTGAGACTGGCCTCAAACTTGTGATCCTTCTGCCTCAGCCTCCTGAGTAGCTAGGATTACTGAGTGCATCACCACGCCAAGCCTGATCTTATTCTCAAATTACAACTAGTAACCCAAAGAATGGCTAAAATTACTAAGATGAATATCAATGTTGATAAAGATGTAGAAAAGCTGAACTTTCATACATTGCTAGTAAAGTGTATAAATCAGTACAACCATGTTAATATATATTAGCAACATCTATTAAAATTGAACTCATTGTGGTGGTGCAATCATCCTAGCAACTATCATCCCAGCAACTTGGGAGGCTAAGGCAGGAAGATCACAAGTTTGAGGCCAGCCTCAGCAATTTTCAAGGCCCTAACTTAGACTCTGTCTCACAATAAAAATAAAAAATAAAAAGGACTGGGGATGTAGCTCAGTAATAAAGCACTCCTGGGCTAAATCCCAGGTACCAAAAATAAACAACAAAAACTGAACACAAGCCAGGCATACTAGCACACATAATCCCAGAGAATCAGAAGGCTGAGACAAGAGGTTCACAATTCAAGGCCAGCCTGGGAACTTAGCAAGATACTGTCTCAAAATAAAAAAAAAATAATAAAAATAAAAAGAGGTTAGGACATAGCTTAGTAGTAGAGTACCCCTGGGTTCAATCCCCAGTAATGAAAAGGAAAAGAAAAGGAGCAAGGTACATGCAACATTAATAAAGCTAAAACATTTAATTACGCTAAGTGAAAAAAGTCAAACCCTACATATCATAATGATTCCATTTTATAACATTCTAGGAGAGATAAAAATTTAGTAAAAGAACCAAGCAGGGTGGCACACACCTAAAATGATTCAGAAGGCTAGAAGATCCCAAATTCTGAGGCCAGCCTCAGCAACAGCCAGATCCAGTCTCAAAAAATTAGGGCTGGGGTTATGGCTCAGTGGTAGAGCATTTGCCTCACATACATGAAGCACTGGGTTCGATTCTGAATACCACATATAAATAAATGAATAAAATAAAGGCCCATCAACAACTAAAAATAAAATAAAATAAATTAAAAAAAAGGGCTGGGGTGTAGGTGTGTCTCAGTGGCTCAGCGCTCCCTGGGTTCAACCAACAGTACAAAAAACAAACAACTTTACTGAAAAAGCAAATTAATTTCTTGAGATCAGGGAAGATCAACTGCAAAAGAGCAATAGAAACTTTTTGGGGTGATTAAATGGTCCTAGACCTTGATGGAAAATATATAATAGTATACAATTAAAACTGAACATGTCAAATGAGTTAGGTTTATTATGTGTAAATTATACTGTAAATCTTTAGAAAAATAGATAAACCATAAGAAAAACTTCAGAAGCTAGGTACAATGGCACACATTTGTAATCCCAGCAATTTGGGAAGCTGAGACAGGAGGATCATGAGTTCAAAGCCAGCCTCAGCAGGTTCCTGAGTAACTTAGCAAGATCCTGTCTCAAAACAAAAAGAGCTACAGATGTGACTTAGTGGTTAAGCATCTCTGATTGGGCACAGTGGAACATGACTATAGAGGCGGGATAACCACAGGATGGAGACCAGACTGGGCAACTTAGACACGAATTGGTGTGAATATACTATGTATACGACCAGAGGTATGAAAAATTGTGCTCTATATATGTAATAAGAATTGTAATACATTTTGCCGTTATATATAAATTTAAAAAAATACAGCTAACATAATGGTAAAATTGTGATTTATCTAATGTCAAGAACAAGACAAAGATGCCTACTTTAACCACATCTTACCGGAAGTATTAGACATTTAAATAAGCCCCCCCCTCCCAAAAAAAAGGAATAAAAGAAATAAAGATCAGTAAGAAAGTCATAACACAATCTATTGTCAGATGGTGGTGTTTTATTTAAAGTCCTAAGGAATCTACAAAACAACAACAAAAAAACCCTGTCTCAAACTAAAAAAAATAAAAAAAAAAAAAAATGAGAGGCTGGGGATGTGGTTCAGTGGTACAGCATTTGCCTGGCATGTGTGAGGCACTGGATTAGATTCTCAGCACCACATAAAAATGAATAAATAAAACAAAGGTATTAAAAGAAAAAAGACATAGGGGAAGGGAAAAATTAGGATGAACAAAGAAACCAGACAAGCAAGCATGTATCACTGTGTGATTGCCATCAATATAAAGTTCAAAACCTGGGGCCCAAGGTGTAGCTCAATGGTAGAGTGCCTGCCTAGCATGCACAAATCCCTAGGCTTAATCCCCAGCACCAAGGAGAGATGCAGTTCAAAACGAGGCAAAACTAACCTATGCTCTCAGGAATCAGGAGAGTGGTCCCCTTGGTTCTAAAGAAGGAATGATTGGGAGAGGCCACAAAGAAGGCTTCTGGGATACTTACACAGGTGTATTAACTTCGTTAACATTTCTACATGCATACTATTCTTCTATTACAAAAGTTTACTTTAACTAAAAAATTGTTTATCCCAAATATGTATTTAACTGGCATCCTGTATTTTATCTTTAAAAATTATAACCATTTGTCTGTTTTACAAAATATTTAAACAACAGAGAGGTCTTTCCTTTAGAAACAACAGGATAACAAAGACTGCCTGGGCACCAGAGAAACTAGACACTAGATGTGCTCTGATCCACTAGCCTAGATCTAGAACCTGGGAACATTCACAAAAACCTTCAGACATTTCTCTAGCCATGAAATCCCATTTTAAAGTTGCCTGTTCCTGAAGAAAATTCTATGCAAATACCAGTTGCCTATACCAGACAGCCAGTATCAATAACCTGATATAATCTAGTGCTTCAAAGAATTTACTGTGCTTCTTTTATTTTAGAAATGTTAGCAGGTAATAAAGCATTTATTTAATATGATCTCAGTGAACTAAAGTGCAGCTAAAGAACTTCCCCAGGCAAAGACTCTTCACACTTCAATAACAAGGAGAAACAAGTCAAGATCCTACTATAAATAACTCTCAGGAGCTAATCTGTGGTCAATATTTGGTATGAATGTAACCCTCATGGTTTGCACACTTAGCTCCTTTCATCTGCCACAGTGTCCTCTGGAAAGCTATGAACTTGTCATAAACAAAGACAGGGACCACCATGTCTTTACCATCTTCATTTTACCGGACCCTAATACATAGAAGTTGTTTGATAAATGTAAAACAAATGGCTTTGAATTCCTATCAAAGATTCCAGATCCATCAGAATTTATGCACTTTCAGATCCTGACAATCAGATTTATAGGCAAGAACTTGTAATGAAAGTAAAAAGTGATCATTTCCCCCCCCCCCAACAGTAGAAAATCCAGTACAATGGGCAAAGAATTTGAGAAGTCATTTCTCCAAAGATATACCATGGCAAATAAACACACAAAAAGATGAGCAACAATGTTAGTTATTAGGGAATTGCAAATCAAAGCCACAATGAGATACCATGGCATAGCCACCAAGATTCCTATATTTAAGACAAATGTAAAGTATTGGTGAGAAACTGGAACCCTCATACACTGCTTATGGGAATGCAAGATGATGATACAGCTCTTCAAAAACGGGTCTGTCAGGTTCTAAACAGTTAAACATTGTTATCATGCAACCCCAATATCCATTACTAGATATTTACCCAAGAGAATTAAAAAGATGACCATACAAAAACCTGTTCAGGAATGTTTATAGCAGCATTACTTATAATAGCCAAAAAGTGAAAACACCACAAATGGGTAAATAACATGTAATGTATCAATACACTGGAATATTATCAGGCAATACACTTTGAAAACATTATCCTAAAGGAAGCAAGTCACTAAGGATCACATAGTTACGATTCATTTGAATTATTCCTTTGTGTGAATTACCCAGAATAGAAAAAATAGTTGTGAATATGTAGACCATAGGCTAAAAAGATGATTGACCACTAATGGGGTTTTGGAAGAATGCTGAAAATATTCTAAAACTGCAGTGATAATTACACAACTCTGAATATTCTAAGAATCACTGTATACTTCATGAAGGTAAATTATGTAGTATGTGATATCAGAGCTGTTATTCAAAACATCTGACATATAATCTGATTTTGATTTAGTGACTTCTTTGAAAAACTTAAAAATCTTTGCTAATTAGTCATACAAGTTACTTTTTTTTTTAAAGAGAGAGTGAGAGAGGAGAGAGAGAGAGAGAGAGAGAGAGAGAGAGAGAGAGGGAGAGAGAGAAATTTTTTTTAATATTTATTTTTTAGTTCTCAGCGGATACAACATCTTTGTTGGTATGTGGTACTGAGGATCGAACCCGGGGCCGCAAGCATGCCAGGCAAGCGCGATACCGCTTGAGCCACATCCCCAGCCCCTGAAATTTCTAAAGATCCTTGTTAGGGCAGTTCACATGACAGTACAAATTTCAAAGAATTAAGAATTAAAAAAATAACATACCAAGCCATGGGTTTGAACCCTAGCAATACAAAATAAAATGTTTTCCTCTCTTCTCAACATTTAAGTTGTACCAATTTTTTCTTTTCGTTTGCATTACTTGGCACCTCTCTTATATTTCAGTGTGTTGCCATTCACACTGCCTTCAAAAGAGCCATATCCCACCCTCCTTAGCTCTCCTCTCCTACCACATGGGTCCAGGTCACCATCTATCATCTCTTACCTATATGTCAATGGGCTCTTAACTGGGCTTCCAATTTGAGCCAAAGCCTCCTTAAGTTTCCAGTCAGTACAGGTGGAGCACAGGGTTCCATTCAGCACCCTCCAGGGACTTCTCATCCCACTCAAGTTAAAGACTTGGCCTTTCCAGAAGCCCAAGGAACCCAATTCCATTTGATATTCATTTTACCTTCTGACACCAGCACTGACTCTATCTACTCTAGTCACAGTGGCCTTCTTGCTCTCTGGAACATCCCATATTATACCGAATAAGGGCATTTGTGTTTACAGTTCCCTCTACCTGGACCCCTCTTCTTCCCTCAGATGCTGCACAACTTGGTTCCTCACTTTAGGTCTTTACTCAAAGATCACCTTCTTAGGAGGCCTTTCCATGATCAAGCTGCAACTACTTCTTCCTATGCTTTCTTTTTTCGGACCAGAGATGGAACCCAGGGGCATTCAACCCCTCGGCCCTGAACCACATCCCCAACCCTTTTTGAGAGTCTGTACAATGGATTGAGCCCTGGGGTGCTTTCTACATTCTCACTCCTTTTTTTGGTGTTGCTGTTTTGAGTTAGGGTCTCCCTAAATTGCTGTGACTTGCCTCAAACTTGCCATCCTCCTGCTTCAGCCCTCAGTCTTCCAGCTGCTGGGATTAAAGGCCTGTGTTACCACACTAGCTGTTTATTACCTTTCTTTTCAGAATGTAACTCCTAAGAGGGCAAGGATGTCAGGTTTTTCTTTTTTTTGCCACACTATCCCCAATATTTGAATTGTACTTTGTACATAATATACATTCAAGAAGTATTCTGAAAGAATAACCTGTAGATTTTTAAAAGTTGTATGACTTGAAGATGCTTCAGAGCTATCATTGTGATCCTTGCTAAATGGTTCCCTAAAAGGAGCAAATCTATTTTTTTTCCTTAGAATACATCACTAAATAACTGAAAGTGAATAAAAAATACACAAGGACACAAAAGTTGTAAAAAGAACCATTTTTTCCAGTCTCTTGAACCTAAGTCACTAGACTGGAAAAGATTTCAAGTGTTCTTCTCTACATGATTGCCTACTTTCAGTCAACCTTCACTGAGTTACTTCCTTGTTTTTTGCCCTGGACAGTGGTAGACTCTGGAAAAGGTCTGTGAAAACTCCTGTACAACCTGTTTCAGGATCCATAATCATAGTTAATTCAGTGAAAATCTGACACTCATTGTTTCTGAGGCCTATTTCTCATATCCCTTTCCAAAAATGAATACCTGAAATTCACAAGTACCCCAAAAACCTAGCTTTGGGTTAGAGGAATCCTAGTTGCCCTTTTAAAAATCTAATTATAACCATTCAAGGGGAACTTTTTTCCACCTTCATTCAATCACTTGAATACAGAAGATACCTGAGCTATCCATAATGAACTGTGAATAAGATTTTCCTTTAAATGCGATTTAAAATTTTACTAGTCCTCAGAATGCACCATTAAATGCACAGCAGTTTTAAGATAATTTCCTTTAGATAATAAGATTATTTGTGGAACTAGGACGTATCTCGGTGGAAGAGTGCTTGCTTAGCACGCTGGAAACCCCGGGTTTGATATTCCCAGCACCAATAGGTGGGTTAAAAAGTTATTTGCAATCCACAACCTTATAATACTAAGTTTGTTTTGGCAAGGGTATTAATGATTTAAACCTAATTCCCTARTTCCTATTCCCCTGAGGACAAGCATTTGGAAAAGCCTGATCAGAATTAGTAATCATGGAACCAAGAACCTTAGTGTAATCAGTTTAACCAATTAACTACAAATTATTTAATACGGAATACGCACAATACTTAACCCACTACTTTCCGAATGTAAACATCTGTATGATTTAAACACACAACTCCTACACAGATATTGTTCTTATTTTGGAATCGGGAAAATGCATTCGACCTCTTGCCCAATTTCACACGTCTAATCGGATTTCAAACTGAACACTCCCTCCCCAGCAACGCTGCGGAAGCTGTTAAAACGACCATAAGAGAATTCCATCATCAGTTCTTTAATTTGCAAGGAAACTAAGCCGTCTTTCCAAATAAGTAAAGCGTTAACATCGCAGGGCGAATACAACAGAAAGCAAAAGATGTTTTTAAAACTTCACGACTTTAAGAAATGTGAAGCCACAGACCGAGGTTTTGAGGCGGCCTTCGGTGCGAAGGAGCTGCACCTGAGGCGCTGCCGGGCGGGCTCCCGCCGCCAGCCTCAGCCCCAGCTCAGCTGCTCCGACGCCGCGCTCATACACGACCCGGGGGTGAGGCTGCGGGACCTCAGAGCAGCGCGTCAGGCTCGAACGTGCACCCGCTAGCCGCGGGTTGACCGGACACCCTAGTCCCAGCCGAGGGGCCTCTCGGACACCGCACCAGCCCAGTACCCGGGACAGGCGTCGCTCCCTCCCACCACATCTCGACTCGCACCTTCTTCTCATGGCGGACGCTCCAAGCAGTCCCAGGGAATCGAGACCCCCGACCTCCTTCACGCGGGTACGAGCGCAGAAACCAGCAACACACACCGAAGATCTCGCTGTGGGTAGCCGCTCCGCGAGCCGTTGGGCCCCGCGGAATTTCAAATTGAGCTCCGAGGCGGAGCAGCCACGCGATTGGTGCGGCTTCCCATCATTCCTCACGAAGCCCCGCCTCATCCCCGCCCCTTCGCCAAGGCGGACTACCTCGCGGGTCGGTCTCCGCCCTAGCAGGAGCTGCGCACTGAGCGTGGGAAGTGCAAAGGGAGAGCATGTTGGGCGGATCTCACTGTCTGCGCGTGCGCTCGGCCGCGGCTGGCTCTACTAGACCAGCTATAGCCCTGAAGTGCATCCTTTCAGAGCTTATGATGTCATCCGAGCCCCATCCGACGCGCGCAGTTTTGATTTCAAGTTTGTGGTGTTTTTAGAGGCAGAGGGGCAGAGGGAGGTTTGAGAAGCCCACCAAAGAAGGGAAGGAACACTGAGCCCTGCTCAAAGGCTTGGTATCTTTCTAGAAACGTTATCCCATTTAATCATCACGACAAACCCATTAGGAAGTACTATCACCACCATACAGAGGACGAGACTCAAAAAAAAAAAAAAAGGAGAAAAGCCTCCCAAGTCTGAGTGTCTTGTCCAAGGCACACAACTGGTGAAAAATGGAGATCACTGGTGGCTTGTTTTCTTTCAAATTATGTTTATTTGACTGTTATATGAAAATTTTAAGGCTTGAAATTGACGAAGTGTTTTTGTATCATGGTTTTCTCACTGAACATATCCCTAAATGCATATATCAGATTTTTTTTCCTGTGGCATGTGGATCTCATTATTTAACAAATAATATTAGGATGAATATCCTCATACATAAACCTTTGCATCTTGCATTATTATGACTGATTCAAGGAAATGATGCCTCCTTTTCGAAGAGGTTGTATTTATTAATTTGTCCTCCCCAACAAGGAAACGCACCCGAAGTACCCACCTCCCGTTACCCTCAGCAGTGCCAAACACTACACTTTTAAACCTCTCTGCTCATTTTACAGGCAAAAAAAAAAAAAAAAAAAAAGAGGGCATTTCCTGTTTGATTCACTTATTTTATTATAATTGAAATGACACATCTTTCTGTAATTGTCACCCTTTGCCTTTTCCCTAAAGGATGCTTTGCTTCACCTCCAAAACCAGATTTTTTTTTTCCCTTTCTTTCAGAAAAATTTCTCATTGTTACTTATAACATTTTTTAACTTGGTGACAGTATACCAAAATTCACACCACTAAATAATAGGGACAATACTCGAAATTTACTGGCACTTTTGGTTAATTGGAAGTTTTTCAAAATGCTTCAAAATTTGTATCTTCAGATGCATTCCAAGGATTAGCATTGTAACTTATCCAGAGATAAGGCAATTTTGCTCTGATGTTCTTAATATCATAGCTTTGAAGCTCCACAAGTCTTACAGCCTTTGCAAAGAAGTCTATTCAGAGAATATATTCAGCACGTAAACTGTGTGTATACCGTGATTCTGACCCTATTACAGGGCCATGTTGTATTTCTACCAAATGGTACTATTCTATAGCACAAATACAATGCACTGTCACTGTTTATTTACTTGGCTATAGAATCCTTCTGAAACCACATATTCCTTCTGTGAACTAACATCTCTGTCAACAGTGTCTTTGATCTTATCCACGAACCTGACATAAGACCGTCAAAAGATTTTTTTTTTTTCTCCTGGTACTAGTGACTGAACCCAGGGGTGCTCTACCACTGAGCTACAACCCAGCCCTTTTTATTTTTTATTTCAAGACAGGATCTTGCTAAATTGTCCAGACTAGCCTTGAACTTGTGCCTCAGCCTCCATGTCACTGGGATTACAGGCCTGTGCCACCATGCCGGCCAGTATCGAAAATGCTAGCTAGCTAGTTGATGCATGTCTTCTCCTTAGAGTGTGCTCTGATACAGCATTATTGTTCTTCTAGTAAAGAATTCAATTACACGTTTTGACTTTCTTTCTTTTGATAAGTGGAAGCACTGTGAAAGGGGAACAGATGGGAAGCAGAGCAACTGGGAGAGACAGTCTTGCAAAAACCCAAGCAAGAGACAACAATAAAGACCTCTGTTGTGGAAATGGTAAGGAGGGGATGAACTAGAGACATTCTGAAATAAGAATCAATAGGACAAGGGGACAGACTAAATGTGAGGGATAGAAGGGAAAAATCAATAATATCAAGGATAGTTTCTTTTACAAAAAATGAACAAAATTTGAGTAGATGATGTCAATTAAAAATGGGAAGAAGAGCAGATTTAGGGCTTTATTTATTTTTTATTTTTTGAGAATTTTAATATTTATTTTTTGGCAGACACAACATCTTTGTTTGTATGTGGTGCTGAGGATCGAACCCGGGCCGCACGCATGCCAGGCGAGCACGCTACCGCTTGAGCCACATCCCCAGCCCTGATTTAGGGCTTTAAAGAGTGGACAAGAGGTTCCATTTGTAACTTTTAGACATTTAGAGTTTGTGAAATGACCAGGTAGGAAATACTAGTGTGAGTCAAGCTTAGCAAAACCTGAGATCTGGAAATAGATCACCACAATAAAGGAGAGAGAGAGATGTCAATAAATGGGACAGGCATACAGAAGTAATCAAAGGAGACAGATGGACAACAAAAATTGCAGAACAAAAATGAGTGTCATGAGAGCTGAATTAAGAGAATTTCAAGGAGAAAGAGGTAGTTTCCAATGAGATCAAGTTAGAAAAGGCCTGAAAAGAGATCACTAGGGGCTGGGGTTGTGGCTCAGCGGTAGCACACTCACCTAGTGTGTGCAAGGCCTTGGGTTTGATCCTCAGCACCACATAAAAATGAATAAATTAAATAAAGGTATTGTGTCCAACTACACCTAGAAAATAAATATTTTTTTAAAAAACAGATCACTAATATTTGTGGTTATAGTTTATAATTTTCAAAAGGTAAAGAGAGAAAGGCCAAAGCAGTGAGAAGGGCACTGGCGACATTTACAGGAGTACTATTTACTGTTGCCAGAAATAGCTTTTACAATGGGTAACAATCTTTCATTCTACAATAAGAAACAGAAAGCTTAAAGTGTCTTTTTAAGTTAAAACAATAATAAATTTGTTTTCTTGAAAATGTAACGAATCACAAAATTTTAGAATTAGAAAGGTTTTTTTTTCCTATTCCCATCCCCCCTCCCTTCCCTTCATTCCCCTTTGTCTAATCCAAAATAATTCTAACTTCCCTACTACCCCCCTTATTGTGAGTTAGCATCTGCATATCAGAGAAAACATTGGGCCTCTGTTTTTTTTTTTTGACACTTTCTCTTTTTAATGGAAGAGTTTTATAGTTATTATACTAGTAGGCCCATTATTGTGTCTATTCATAGCTCTGATGTGGGTTTTAGAATTTTTGCTGACCACCTAATCCATCTTCCTTATTTTACAGTTGAGGAAACTCTGGTACAGAACAGGTAATTTTTTTTTTTTCCCAAGAAAAATGCAATAGGACTAGAGCTATCACAGAGTTCTGTCCACAAAACATATGAAACCCCAAGGACAGCTCTTCTTGTGCTTTCACTAATATACACAGAAGTGAATATACAGAACTACAGGATGTTATGTATGAGAGCAGTGGCTTTATTTACAATGATATTCAAACACGATTTAGCAAAGGTTACCTCTTCTCCCTTGTATCTTACCAGCATGTACTCTACTTCATGAGCAAAAAAGAGGAATATCCCAGGCACAGGATATGAACATTGTTGTCAAATATGTTCTGTAGGTCCCAAATAAATTCCAAATTCCCCAGCTCTCAGCAGGGCCAATGGGAATACTTTGTTAGCAGCTGGGTACCAAACACCTACATSCAAGGAAGACTTCAATGTTGGCCTCAAAAGCTTCAGGCTTTCACCTCACTCATGGCCTCCATAAGGCGAGCACTATTTGTGATGGCTGTTGTCAGAAAAATGAACCTGTACCCTAAGGAATCAAAAGCAGCAGAAGTGACAAGAGATCTCAGGTTCCCAGCAGGAACTACATTGACCCATCCAGTTCCACAATCCCCAGTGAATCAGTGTACCAGTTTATAAACACAAAGACATCAATACCAGGCTGGTGGATACCACAACTTGCAAACCTATCGGGATTGGGCTCATGGTTATAGCAGCCTGCAGCAAGGTTATAACAAGTGGTACCATGGCCAGGAGAAAAGGCTTCCTGTGCAAGGCACTTTTTTCCCTCAGGACCCATGCTAGCCTGTTCTCAACTTTCTGTTCTTTTACCTTTCTCTTTGCCCAAGAACCGAAGGGCTGAGATCTCAGAGAATGTGCAGCCACCCAGGAATACCACCAAGATAAGGCGCAGGGATTCACTGGAAGTCTTGTCTTCCTTGGTCATGTCTGTGAGGATCAGACCAGACTTAGCTCTTCACTGACATGCTAGTACTGCATGATGTGTGAGCCCACCTCTTACTGACACCCTGCCCCACCTGGCAATGCCACACACCTGTGAATGCAAACTCACTGCAATTGAGTAGCCGTACCACCTCATCAAGACCCTGCCAGCTTCGCCGCTCTAACACCTGGGAAGGTATAAGAACTGGTTTCAAGGGCTGGGATTGTGGCTCAGCGGTAGAGCGCTCACCTAACATGCATGAGGTACTGGGTTCTATCCTCAGCACCACATAAAGTAAAAAATAAAGACATTGTATCCACCTATAACTAAAAACAAATAAAAAAATAAATATTAAAAAAAATGGTTTGGGGCTGGGGCTGTGACTCAGTGGTAGAGCACTCGCCTCGCACATGCGAGACCCTGGATTCGATCCTCAGCACCACATACAAAAATAAACAAGTGAAATAAAGGAGTTGTGTCCAATTACAACTAAAAAATAAATATTTAAAAAAAAAACCCAAAAAACTGGTTTCAAGTCCACAAATAAATAGTACCACTGTCAT